CCCCCCCCAATTCCTAATGGTTGGTAGGCGGGCTCTTGACTGTGCCAGAGGTGCGGACCCTGTTGTCCATGGTTGGAGAAGGTGACCTTGAATCTAGTACTTACAGACCAACAGCCTTAGCGTCATCCAGGAGCTCGTTAGAAATGCAAATTCCCAGACCTACTGATCAGAAACTCTGGAGGTGGGGCCCAGCAGTCTGTTCTAACAAATCCTCTAGATGATTTTGATGTGGATGAAAGTCTGAGATTCACCCAGTACGTCTGGGATGGGGCCTGAGAATGTGCATTTCTGACAACCTCCCAGGTGATGCGCGTCCAGGGACCTCACGGGCTTAGAAAACCCCAAAGAAGCCCAGGGAAAGTTTCACGCTATTTCTTGGCTTAGGCCTCCTAGCCAGTATGAGGGACCTGGCGCTGGGACGAAAGTGATCAGAAGTGGAAAGGAAACTTCTGCCACCTTACACCCGAACATGGAGGCGTCAGCCCCTGACCGTGACCGCGATCACGTCCGGTGCTGCTGAGCATGTGTGCTCAGCGCCGATCACAGAAAATTGTTTCTGTTTTGTCTTGTGCCCCTTCATATGGTTTACATGCGTCTCTCTCCTTGGACTCTGCTCTCAGTTTCCCACTTAGTACAGTGGCCTAAACAACCCAGAATGGTTTTTTTTCTTTTTAATTTGGAAAAGTTTCAGGTGTCTGTTTTTGTTTTTTCCAGATTAGGTTTTTGTTTGTGTTTTCAGATCTGGGTTTAATGATCAGATCTTTCTTTTATTTGAGTCACCTTTGAAGTCTCATTTGACGCAGCCTCAGTTTCCCAAAGTAAATAGTAAACTGTCACCTCATAGGATTATCGTGAAGACTAAATTAAATAACAGATGCAGAGTTCCTGTCAGTTAGGAAATATGTGATAAATGTTAATTTCTGTACCTCTGGTCTTACTCCCAAATAAGTGAGCACAAACCGCCCCCCCCCATGGCTGATCAATATGCTGAAATTAGGGCAAAGATAAAGCCTCTGAGAAGCTGGGAGAAGTCTAGGGAATGTGGGAAAACAAGCAGGGCTTCCCAGGGAGGGGAGTAGCCTAGAATCTAGAGGGGCGACCAGTTTGCCTGAGGATGGAGAAGGGAAATGAGAAGTGAAACTGGGCCCCCAGGCGGGCAGCCTCAGGGACCCAGCCGGTGGGCTCTTCCTCAGGCATGAGTGTCTTGGGTGGGCTTGGAAAAGCCGGGGCACTCAAGGCTTCTAGGCAGAGGGCCCCCCGTTAGGCTTCCTGGCTGCCTTTAGTATTTAGAGGAAATACTGACTTAGTATTTAGAGGTGCCCACGCCTCGGCTAGGACATGACAGACACATGGGTGTGACCAAAGCTGCATCTCTCTGGGACCTGGGGGGGCCTGGGTCTTCTCTCACCCTCTTTAGGCGATGGGAGATGCCATAGTCTTCTCTCTGTGTTCAGGATGTCTGGATTGGAGCTAAAGGGAAAGCGGAGATTCTTAATTCCCTCTGATTAACACCTGTCAGATATCTCAAGGCAGAGGGCAGGACCCGTCTCGCTAGCGGTGGGGGGGTTTCAATGAGGTCACTTTCAGCTCCCAGGTCCAGAGGGTCCTTAAGGGCAGTGGCCAATGGCACGAGAATCCTTCTGCGGTGATGATGCTCCACACATCTGGTAAAGCCGCGATGGAGGGGCCTTCCTGCTGTAGTTTCTCTGCAGATCCCCCTCCCGTAGGCCTTGGGGGAGTGATAAGCTGGAGTCTTAGCCCTGCTGCTGAGGGCTCTGGGTAGGGGTGGGGTTGCTGGGAAGCAGTTATCTAAAACCCCAGAACCTAAAAGCAAGCAGAGAGCTGAGGTCATCTTTATCAAGGAGTGCCAGGAACACACCGAAAGCCAGGGCCACCTGGTGGAGAGAGCCCGGAGGGGGCCCGCCTGGGGAACCGGCTGGGATAGAGGCTGTGGCCAGGGCCTGACCGGCTGCCCTTGACTTCTCCAAGGAGCAAGTGCGTGGGAGGGCTGCTGGGTGCGGCTGGTGACCCTGTGATTTTTCCCTTGAGGCTCCACAGCTAGAGCTTAAGGCAGTTCCAGAGGGTTTCAGAAATGCCTTGCAGGCTGACAGCTGCATAAGAATCAGTGACTTTTACCTTAGATGTCTACATGTGAAAACAAAGGGTCAAGCCCGGCGGGCGTGGCTCAGCTGTTGAGCGTTGACCTAGGATCCAGGAGATCGAGGTTCGATTCCCGGTCAGGGCACATGCCCCGGTTGATAGCTCGATCCCCAATGACTCTCTGATCATGGGTGTTTTTATCTCTCTCTCCCTCTCCTTTCCTCTCTCTGAAATCAATAAAGATATATATTAAAAAAAATTTAAAAACACACACAAATGGTCAATTTCAGTAAGATAATTTTGCAAGGTCATTTGCATTTCTGTTTACTAGTCACAGTTGAACTAAAGGAATAGTGGCAACAGATAAATGTGTTTAATATTTGGAAAATGAAAGAACTATTAAAGATTTTTAATTCTCAAGAAGGAAACTAGAGCAAGACTTAAATAAATGGAGAGGTTTATTTAAGTGCAAATGAAAATATGTCTATTATATACTTAGTGAAGAAGTAGTAGAGTCACAAACCTCAATGTTAATGTGCTTGTAGGGAAATAATCACACTCACATACTCCCACTGTACTTTGAATAGCAAAGATCTAAATCTCTGCCATTTAGTATGGTAGCCACTAAGTCATGTGTCTATTCAAATTTAAAGTAATTAAAATAAAGGAAAGTAGAAAATTCAGTTTCTAAGTCTCACAAGCTGTTTTAAGCGCTCAGTAGCCATATAGGGCTCAGATGAGAGAGCAATTCCATCATCATAGAAGGTTCTGTTAGGGATAGTGTTGACCTAAATCATCAAAGCCTTCAAGTGAGGGGGATTTTTTTGTCTTCCTGTGGAGTTGTTTGAAGTATACAATTAAGAGCTTGTTTCATTCCTTTGTAGTAACAAATCATACAGGTGTACATTGGTGTATAAGATGTAGAAGAGATAAAACAACACTTTCGTATAATTAAAATCTTTGATAAATGGAATTGTTTTCTCACTGACTCGATTGTCAGTCCGTAGATGTGTTATCCTAGTTATTCTTTGTCTCTCTCTCAATGGGCAATCATTTCTAAGAAATTGGTTTCAGGGTGTGTGTTTTTTGCTAATTTTTCCTCTTTTCACATTAATAATGTAGTAGATGAAATACTGTTTGAAGAAGTATTGCAATAATTTAAAGTATAGGTGTGTATAATTTTTGAAAAAATACTCAGCCACCCCCTTCCCCCCTGTGTTTCATCTATTTATATATATATGTAAAAGCCTCACCCAAGGACATGCTTAGAGAGAGGAAGGGTGAAAAGAGAGAGAGGAGAGAGAGAGAAATATTGATCTGGGTGCCCTTTGCCTGCCCCGGATCGGGGATTAAACCCGCAACCCAGGCAGGTGCCCTGACCCGGAATCGAACCGGCAACCCTTCAGTGCACGGGACGATTCTCCAACCAACTGAGCCACTCTGGCTGGGCCATCACTTTATATTTTTAAAGTGTATTCCTTAAGCAAGACCAATCTGTATTAGTTATCAAACGATAGGGATCTTGGTCTCCAATGACTCCCAAGTTCCCGGGATGGTTTCTTTTTTCCCCCCTGTGAATTGGAAATACTGACAATTTTGAAATTTTCTTTCAGAAATTTATGCAAATATTCTCACAATGTCCTCTCGGAAGAGAACTTTAAAGTCCTGAAACACCATCAGCTCTCTGGACTGAACAAAGAAGAATTAGCAGTGCTTCTCATCCAGAATGACCCTTTCTTTATGCCTGAGGTAAGTTATGATTCCTTGGTTTAAAAAGCAGGAAGGATATGTAGCTGGCAGTGTCGTATCAATGATGTGTTGGAGCAGGACCAGGAAGAAACTCAGAGTTAGCGCCAGGGCTCTGCAGAGGACAACACCCACAGTTGAGTGACCTAAGAGATTCCTGCAATTTATTTCCTGCTTGAAGTTTTATAAGAATTTGAGTCTGGGATGCCTGCTCTGCTAGGCTGCTCGGGAGCCCTGTGTGAGCAAGTGTGATCTGAAGACGCAGTAGTTGGACTAACTGATGCTTTATATAATGGTGGCCTCCGGGAAGAGGTGGGCTTTGAATGAAGGTTTTGGAAAATGACAGGGTATCTTGGTTGAAGGTACAGGCTAAGCTGTTGTAACAAGGAGACTCCAAAATGTAGTGATTCAAATAAAATATAATTTTATTTCGTTATCACTTGATGGTTTAGATCAAGTGTCATCAGATTACAGCCCATGGGCCAAATCCAGCCTGCCATCTGTTTTGTTTTTATAAAGTTTTATTGTAACAACACAGTCACACCCATTCATTTACATATTATCTTGCTGCCTTTTTAAAAAAAAAATCTTTATTGATTTCAGAGAGAGGAAGGGAGAGAGAGAGAAACGTAAATGATCCCCGACTGGGGATGGAGCCCACAACCCGGGCATGTGCCCTGACCGGGGATCGAACCGCGATCTGGATCCTAGGGCGATGCTCAACCTTTGAGCCACGCAAGCCGGGCCATTGCTGCTTTCTTGATAGAAGGGTGATCTGAGTAGTTGCAACAGAGACTGAATGGCCTATAAAGCCTACAATGTTTACTGTCTGTTCATTACAGAGAAAGTTTGTCAACTTTTGGTCTTGCATAGGTGTAGGCAGGCAGGTGCCCAGGGCTGAGTAAGTGGAAGTGGTGGAAGGCAAGCAGTTTCCTTCTTAAATGATGCGACCTGGATATTGTATTCACATCTGCTCCCGTCTCATTGGCCAGAGCTTATCACAGGATCGCACGTAGCTGGAAGGGAGGCTGGGAAATATAGTTTCTGGCTGGATAACCATGTGTCCAGCTAAAACTTGGGAGCTTCTATTACTAGAAGAAAGATGATTAATCATCATGGCAGGTGATTAACATTTTCATCCGTGCAACAATATTGACTTAAAAATCAGAGGATGCTGTTTAAAGAAGGGTATCTGACCTAAGAAAAATCCTTGAGTAGAGAAGTTAACCTTAACCTCACACAGAAAAGGCACAGAAACATAATGGAAGACCCAGGTGCAGTGGGTGGAAGAGATGAAGATCAGCAAGGTTGAAATTCAGAGGTGCCTTAATATATGACAAGATAGCTCTTAGGGACCCCTGGAGGGTGGAGTGCTTTGTGACTTTAAGCCCGGTGTGTTTCCCTGAGGATTTAAAAAACTTGTGACCTGAGGGGTGTTTTTGAGCTGACCCTTGAGCTCAGGACAGATAGGAATGCAAGGGACTCCATAAAAATTTGTTTGGGGAAGGGGAGGAGGGGAGGAAAATACATCCCATCTCCTCTCCCCACCCTGTGCATTCTTTCATCTAGGTGCTTGGATTTGTCTCCGTTTCCAGGAGCCCAAGGTTTAGCGGTCTTGTCTTGGGATATCTGTGGCCCTTGGCAGTCCCATCCCATCCCCCCATGGCTACCAGCTTGGGGAAAATGCCTTACACACCAGCCTGGTTAAAGGTCCTATTGACAAATAGGCATCCTCTCCTTTCCTTTTCGTGTAAAGGAATTAGATGAAGACTTGTTATGACACTTGAGAAGAATGTTGACCTGTGGTCCACCCTTAGTCTAGTGCTAAACTTGGAGGTTTGGGAACGTTACTCATCGAGGGCTGATCTCTGCTTCAGTTCTCCAAAATCAAGAACTTCTTATATCATGTCCCTGGAGAATAAGGGAAGTGGCCACTCCTTCTCCTCTAGGGAAGGGGTCAGCAATTAAGAACCTACCAGAAGGTGCTGTTCAGAGATCCCAGAAGAGCCCATGGACAAAGGCACTGTGAGGGTTCTCTTAGGGGACGCTCTTCTCAGCCTTTCATCACACACAGAGTCCAAAGAAGGGGGCAGTGTCATCTGAGGTTCCCTTTCTCTTTTAAGAATTCAGTACCTATGATTAGTGGGTGGGGTAGAGAGGCTCTTGCCTGAAGTTTATTTTTAGCTAGTATCTAAATTGCCATTTACCACTGGTCAGGGTTAAGATCACAGACTGGGAGACTGCACCGTTTCCTGAACTACAGGAGCCTGAGGAGCTGGTTCCTTTAGTGTTCAATCAGCGAGAGCATCGTTAGCTTAAGTGTCTTTTTGAAAATGCTGGGGAAGAGAAGTCTTTGTAGAACTTTAGCAGGAGGGACTCAGCCAGGTTCAGCTTGTTTCAGGAATAGTTGGTCAAGGATGGTCCTTCTCTGTCTCAAAGTCCTGACTCTGCCACTGACTGCCTGTGTGATCTTGGACAAGGCATTTCATTCTTTCAGGTCTCACTTAATTTGTTGTCTGTTTTGCATTTGTTCAGCTACATGAAGGAATACCAGAAAGTGGTAGGCACTGAGCTAAATCTCGGAGGCAGCAGTGGCCACGACACACTCCCTGCCCTGAAAAACTACAGATCTTCACACTTTTTCACTTTGCCTTGACCTATGAGAACCTAAAAGCATCAGGCAAACCTGGCTTCCTGGCATATAAACTTGTGAAATTGAAATGTGCTTATGCAAGGAAGAAATGTTTTCATTTGTGCTGGCCTACTTAAGGCCAGGAGCAGCCTTATTTAAATATCAGCATGGTAATTGGAATGTTAAGGTATCATTTTTGGGGTTGCTAAGTGTTCTTTTTTTCTAGAGCCTCTCGGACACCCGTTCTCTAGCTTTAGTGTGCATTAGCATCACCAGGAGGGTTTGTTCACATACATTGTGGGGCCCCACCTTTGGTGGTTCTGACTCTGTAGATATGGGGTTTGCATTTCTCATAAGTTTCCGGTGGTGCTGATGTTGCTGGTCAAAGCCACACTTTGAGAACCGCTGGTCTAGAATCAGAATTCTGGGTAATAGACTCTATAACAGTATCTCCTTGGGTCAGATTTTACAGGTTGTCTGTGTGATTACATCGTGTGGCTAGAGTCCGGATTCCTGTCTTTACCACACAGATAAATCACAGTAAACAGTGTTGATCTGGTTGCTCAGAGTCTGTTGAAACATCTTAGGAATGTTTTGATCTTTATGATTCTTCACATCATGATTCAAACATTTGCATCACATTTTATATTTTGCCCAACACATTCACATATTTTATTATTGAATCTGCTCAACAGTGTGGTTTAGGTAGACGGAGCAAGTGTTTTCCTTTTACAGCCGAGGAAACAGAGCTTGAGAGTAAGTAATTCAGTGAGGTGGTTCTAGGTTTGCAGGCTTTTATTTTAATTAAAAAAAAAATTTATTGTTGAAAGTATTACAGATATCCCTCCTTTTTTCCCCATTGATCCCCTCCTGCCCACATCCCCCCCAGCCTTTACCACACAATAGTCTGTGTCCAGGGGTTATGCAAATATGCATATAAGTTCTTTGATAATCTCTCCCCTCCCACTCCCCCACCCCCGCCTTCCCACTGACATTCATCAGTCTGTTCCATGCTTCTGTGTCTCTGGATCTATTTTGTTCCTCAGTCTATTTTGTTTATTAGATTCCACATATGAGCAAGATCACGTAAAACTGAATCAGGAAGAATCGGAAAACCTGAATAGGCCAGTAACAACTGGTGACATCAAAGCAGTAATAAAAAAAACTCCCAGCAAAAAAAGGCCCTGGTCCGCACGGCTTCACAGGGGAGCTTTCTGATTCTTTAAGTTTTAGGGTAGATACTTTACTAAAAATTTTTCTTGCCTTTTGAGGTAGGCCTGTAGTGCTATGAACTTCCCTCTTAGGACTGCTTTCACTGTGTCCCGTAGATTTTGGGTGGTTGTGTGTTCATTTTCATTTGTTTCCAGGAAGTTTTTTTTTCTTTCTTGATATTGTTGGTAACCCATTCATTGTTTAATAACATGTTGTTTAGTCTTCATGTATTTGAATGTTTTTGAGTGTTTTTACTGTAGTTGATTTCTAATTTCATGCCCTTGTGATCTGAGATGCTTGATTAGGTTTGCAGAATTTTAAACTAGTGTCTTCCAGTCCTGCATCACATGGTGTGGCCTCGGGCTTAATAATGTTTGTTCTGACTTCCTTTTAGGAAGAAGTATATCTTTGTAGAAAATTTTACATATCTATGTAAATAGATACATATGTATCTACTTATATATGTATCTATATAGATATATATGTCTATGTATGTAGATAATTTGACATAATTTAGATATATCTATATATCATATGTTCATTTACATAGACGTATAACATTATTTCCTTTGGTTGAGCTTTTGAGAAACTTGGCCACATTCTGCCTTAGCAGAGACTAGATTCTCGATTTTCAACAGTCGCAGGGAAGACCCACCTGTCATTTTAATTGTGGAGTCAGTTGATATCTGAAGGTGGGCCTCCCTCTTGGGGGTGCCCTGATAATGTAGGGCTCACTTTGGGTCCTCTTTGGACCTATCTGTAGCTGGCCATTTTACTTTGATTCTTCCAAAGGATTATCAAATTCGTGTTGCTTTTAGTGAGTCCGAAGACTCCTTCTGCCCCAAAGAAATGATCAATCGAATGTAATTCATTAAAGGCTGTGGAAGATGCATGCATTATTTGTCTATCTGCTTGCTTCTGAAATTTTCGTACAGTCAGACTTTCCTTGACGAATGTGTAGCAGGTACAGGAAGGTGTTCTGTCTCTGACGCTCATCCTCTCCTCTGCAGATTTGCAAAAGTTACAAGGGAGAAGGTAGAAGACAGATTTGTAGCCAGCAGCCGCCGTGCGAAAGGCTCCACATCTGCGAGCACTTCACCCGAGGGAACTGTGGCTATGCCAACTGCCTCCGGTCTCACAACCTGATGGACAGAAAGGTGCTGGTGATCATGAGGGAGCACGGGCTGAGCCCCGAGGTGGTGCAGAACATCCAGGACATCTGCAACAACAAGCACAGCCGCAAGAGGCTGGTGCCCAGAGGTGAGTGCTTGCTACTTTAAAAAAATAGATATTTTTAATCGATTTTTATTGATCTTTAGAGAGAGGAAGGCAGATCTTTAGAGAGAGAGAAACATCAATGACGAGAGAGTCATTGATCGGCTGCCTCCTGCACGCCCCCTGCTGGGGATCGAGCCCACAACCTGGGTATGTGCCCTGACCGGGAATCGAACCAGCAGCCTTTATGGTGCACAGGATGACACTCAACCAATTGAGCCACACCGGCCAGGGATACACTTCCTACTTTTTTTTTTTTTTAATATATCTTTATTGAGAGAGAGGAAGGGAGAGGGGGAGAGAAGATAGAAACGTCAATGATGAGAGAGTCATTGATCGAGCCCTCAACCTGGCCATGTGCCCTGACCGGGAATCGAGCCCTGATCACCTGGATCCTAGGTCAACGCCCAACCGCTGAGCCACGCCCGGCTGGGCTGTTTTAACCATTTTTAAGACAGTTCAGTGGCATTAGGTACATTCACATTGCTGTACAAGCATCACCACCATCTGTCTCCAAAACTTTTCCATCTTCCTAAACAAATTCCGTGCCCATTTAGCAATAACCCCATTTCCCCCTAACCCCGGCCCCTGGCAGCTACTTTACTTTCTGTGTCTATGAATTTGATTGCTCTAGGAAACTCAGAGAAGTGGAATCATACCGTATATGGCTTATTTCACTTTGCATAATGTCCTCAACTTTCATCCAATCTATGTGATAGCATGTTAGAATTTCCTTCCTTTCAAAAAAATTATGTATATATATTAAAATTTTAAAAACTTGTGTAAAAATACACTTAACGTACAGTTTACCATCTTAGTAATTTCTGAGTGTTCAGTGGCATTAAGTACATTCACGTTGTCCAACCAGTCTTTCCATCTTCAAAACCAAACTCTACCCATTAAACAATCATTGTCCATTTCCCCCTCCACCCAGTTCCTGTTGACCTTCATTGTAGTTTCAGTTTCTATGAATTTGACTCTTCTAGGTTACTCAGATGAGTGAATCACACAGTATTTGTCTTTTTGTGACTGCCCTGTTTCACTTCGCATAACGTCTTCTTAAGTTCATTTATGTCATAGCCTGTGTAAGAATTTCCTTCCTTTTTTTTTTTTAAAAAAAAAAAAAATGTCCTTATTGATTTCACAGAGAGGAAGGGAGAAAAGAGATAGAAACATCAATGATGAGAGTCATTGATCGGCTGCCTCCTGCTCGCCCCCTGCTGGGGATCGAGCCTGCAACCCGGGCCTGTGCCCTGACTGGGAATCAAACCGCGATTTCCTGGATCCTAGGTCGATACTCAACTGCTGAGCCACACTGGCCGGGCAAATTTCCTTCCTTTTTAAGGCTGAGTAATATCCCATTGTATGTATACACCACCTTTTGTTTATCCGCCGATGGATGTTTGGGCTGCTTCTACCTTTTGGCTACTGTGAATACTGACATGGTGTGGTGTTTTGAACATGGGTGTACAAATATCTCTTGGAGACCTTGCTTTCAATACTTCTGTGTGTATGCTCAGAAGTGGAATTGCTGGATCATGTGGATAGTCTATATTTAATTTTTTGAGGAACTTCCATACCATTTTCCACAGTAGCTGCACTATTTTACATTCCACCAGCAGTGCACAAGGGTTCTAATATCTCCACCTCCTCGCCAGCGCTCGTATTTTTGTTTTTTTTGGGATAATGGGTGTAAAGTGAACGGTACTATTTCTTAAGCACTTTTATATTGTTTAATGGTATGAACCCTTGGCAGTTTTTAATGTCTTCTTGAGGTGGATGTTGAAGAGGTGAATTTTTTGAAGCAAGTAGCTTATATAATCTAGAGATACCGATTATTTTTTCCTTTCTTAATCCTCACTGGAGGATGTTTTTCCCATTGCAGTTCTTTTTTATATTCCTCATTTGAGTTTGGGCATTGGGTGGGGTGGCAGGGAGGGCTAGTGGAAAAACTTCAGGAAACTCTCTGGTTTAAGTGAAATTAGACCTTTACACCGTCGTTTCATTTTTTTTTGGTTTAAGTTTTGTGAATTCTTACCTTGTTAGGTACACACCTACATCACAATATGGGCAAAATCTAGATGATTCTGGAAAATCCTGCCTAGTTTGCACTAGTTGGTCGTCCCGTTCAGCACAGCAGTGGTGGGCAGCCCCACCTGAGTTTGGGGGCTTGGGGGCTACCCCCGAGTCCCAGGAGAGAAGCCGAGAAGAGTGGTTCGGCTGTGCTAGCGGAATGGCAGGCTGCCTCATCGCTGTGACCGCCCTTCTGGGGATTTTACACGCCACACCAGGACAAGGCACTTGGCAGAGCTTGGACAGCAGACCTGGAAAGGCCGAGAGGAACCGTGGCGAGAGCTCGGGCATGCTAACGCTGCTTTTCACTGTTTCTGTCTTTTCCTAGCTCCCCCCGCACGTGGTCGGGACCCGGCCTATCGAGGCAGAAGCAAGAGCAGAGATCGATTCTTTCAGGGCGGTCGAGAATTTCCTCCACCCGCCCACGGCTCGACGGGGCGGTCCGGCACACCCAGTCCAGATAGCGCGGGCCGCAGGTCTCCCCTGGAGGACCTGCCTGTAGAGGACCTCACCTTCAAGTTCATGCACCTGGGCAGTCAAGACGGCCCTCGGCCTTCCTCAGCCTCACCCAAGGCTGCCGGTCTGGGAGGAAGCCCGAGGCTTTCGGAGAACGGCCTTCCAGAAGGCCTCTTTTATGGGAACCCCGGCAGCGCGCACCTCGCTTCTGATCTGACGCCCGCTCCGGGCTGGAAGGGCGCCGTCCCCTGGCCGAGCGACCGAGGCGGCAGAGAGAGCCCGCTGGCTCCCAGCCAGCCTGCCTCCTGCTCTCCCCTTGGCTCTCCTCGAACACCTGAACCCGTGACCAGCAGAAAGGGCGCTGGCGTGCTGTCCCCAGGCCTCCTGAACATGGAGGGCAGAAGCGGGAATCCAGAAACCCAGCATCTCTCAATTTTTAATAATTTGGACGGAATGGCCACAGAGATCGCTTCCTCGGGATCTTTAAATTACAAAACCGCAGGCAGTAGGCAGAGAGAAAAATCGTTACCTAGGAATCAGGAACCCGGGACCACTCCCCCTAATCTTGACACCATCCTTATGGATGATGCTGAAGACAGAGAGCGGGTGTTTTGGGCCGGTAAATCTCTCCACGACGCACCAAATGGCTTTAGTAAAGTTGCGTGTCAAACTACCGGTGGCACTGATTTGGACTTACCGTCGGGGGCCAGAGTGGGTAAAGATGCGTTACTCTCTGCAAGTCAGATTCTGAGGACCCAGGTCCTGCCCACACTGGGGGAGACCACTGCCCCCCCTGTGGTGAGCACTCTGCCCAAGGTGCCGCCTTCGACGGCTTCCTCAAGCAATAGAACTGCAGCCTGTGAGGTCGATGGTGCGAACTCTGCTCAGCTCTCCATCTCCGCTGCCAGTGAACTTGCCAGGAGGACCCCGGGCTCTGCTCTGAGTGAGTCACTGCAGGACAAAGGGGGCCCCAGGTCCTGTGTCGGCAGCAGAGCAGCTGTGGCCGGCAGTTTCTCTTTGGATGTCCCCCAGCAGTTATTAAAGGGCATCGAGTTTTAGAGGGCTTGGGTTAAGGGGTGGTACTGGTGAGGAGGCTGACATGGAAGATGGAAGGACCAACCAATAGAAGAGTATGGAATAAACTCCATTTATTGAGAACAGGAATAGTTTGACCACGGTTTAAGAAATCCCCATCACTCTCACGCGACCCTAATCTTTGTGTTTGCTTTTATGGAGGGCTTGTCATGAGCAAGACATCAGTCAGGATTGTCTTGACCGTGGCCCAGTTTCAGATATTCTCTCCCACGGTGAGATCAGGTGCCTTGATTTTTGGTTTAAACATTAAGATCAGCATATATGCACTCTCTTTTGTTTTACAGATTCTCTGTCTGACATCTTGAGTACCGGGGATAATCCTGGCTCAGAGGAAATCTGTCTCGACCATCTGTCTAAGGGTTGTCAACGCAGTGAGTAACTTATGGTCTTTCTAGAAGCAGAAACTTTATTGATAGCAATATGGCTAACATTTACTGAGAATTTGTTATGTGTCAGACACAATGCTAAGAACCTTACATGCACCTTCTTTAAACTTGACATCAACCCTAGAAGTAGGTTCTGTTAACCCAGTTTACAGATGTGGAAACTGGAGGCATGGAGTTGTTAAAATCTTATGTACACAAGTAGCCAGGTTGGGCTTTGACCCTAAATCGCCCAGACCGCCTGTGTTCTTCACCACCGCATGATAATACACTTTCTTATTTCGAAATTCAATTTTAGGTGAAATGTTAGGCTTAATCAGGGACCCATCTTTTCATGCACTAAAAGATGAAACAAACAACAAATTCAAAACAAACAACAAATTCAAAAAACAAAGGAACCGTAGAAGACACATTCTTGAAGTTCATTTCCTGTCATTATTTAGGCATTGGCTCTCCTGGGCGATGTGTACTCAAGGGCCCTGTGCTCCACATGACCAGTGATCTGTTGGTGGTTCCGGTTGAAGAGCCACACCTGGTCATTGCCCCCTGCCACCGGGCTTCCTATAGAAATGATCCCCATGGGACTATGCTTGGGACAAATTCCTGTCCTCTCGCGTTGCTATCATTTTCTCACCTTTCTACTTCTGTCCCAGGCTTGGACATGATCATGCCTGGTTTTATTTGCATGATCACCTAGTGCTTTTAGACTCATTTACCTTATGTCCAAAGAGGAGAATTCTGCCCTGTATTCTCTAAATCGAAAGTCCTTAACTTAAAATTTTCTTTTTCTTTTTAATTGTGGTAAAATACATAAAGCAGATTTTTTCCCCCCATTGTAATAATTTTAAGTGTACAGTTCACTAGTGTTAATTACATTCCTATTGTTGGGCAACCAATCTCCAGAACACTTCATCTTGCAAAACTAAACTCTGTATCCATTAAACAAAAACTCCTCATTTCCCCCCCTTTTCAGCACCTGGCAGCCATCATTCTAGTTTGTATTTCTCTGCATAGGACTATTCTAGGTCCCTCATATGAGTGGAATCACAGAATTTGTCTTTTTGTGACACTGGCTTATTTCACTTAGCATAGTGCCCTCAAGGTTCATCCATGTTGTAGAATGTGCCAAAAAATTTTTTTTAAGGCTGAATAATATTCTATTGTCTTTACATATCACATCATATTTATCCACCCATCGATGGATACTAGGGTTATTTCTACCCTTTGGCTATTGTGAAATAATGCTGCTATGACCATGGGTGTGCAAGTATCTGCTCAAGACCCTGCTTTTAATTATCTTGTGTACATACCCAGAAGTAGAATTGCTGGGTCACATGGTAACTTGATGTTTAATTTTTTTGAGGAGCTGCCACACCATTTTCCACAGTAGCTACAGCATTTTACCTTTTTTTTTTTTTACCAGCAATACACAAGGGTTCCAGTTTCTCAACACCCTCAGCAACACTTGTTTTCTGTTTTTGTTTGTTTTTTAAATAGCAGCCATTCTAATGGGTATGAGGTATGAACTATAATGAATGGTTATATACTTTCGAATCAGCCAAATCTCAGTCAGTGCTACTCTGTGGGTTTCCCCTTTGATGTCTAAACTTGTCTCTTTTTGTTTTAAAATAGTCACACATCTTTTGGACATTTCAAAATGTCCAAACATAACATAATATTTAAACATAACCTAATGAAAATTGTGGAAAACAGAACTATTGCGTAAAATAAACATACAAGTAAAAAAAGCACAACCTGGTATTGAGTGCTGGCTAAGGGAATCCAAAATACAAGTCAGATCAGAATAGAGTGAGATGTGTGAGGAAATCTTTCTGGAAGAGGCAAATTATAGGCCAGAGTTCCAAGGAAAGACGAGCAGTGGCCTCTGTTGGGGAGCGGCCTATATTTTGTCTCCATGTACCCATCCACTTGGGAGGTACAGAAAGGGAAACTAAATTTATAATGACCTCCGATTTTCATGTGGGTAAGGAGACTTTTGGGGGAGTGGGGAATTTTTGTTTTCTGATGAGTCTCCATGGGCAATAAAGCAACCTGGACATACGGATACGGGGCAATGCAGCCAGCAGCCAGCGTGAGCAAAGGTGTGGACGGAATGTGCCCCGCATGCAGGTCTGGGAGGTGGGAAAGGCAGGCCTTGATGGGAATGTCAGAAGTGGACTTGGTTGACTTGGTTAGAACCCCCTCAGCCCACCCTCAGCCCTCCTCTCTGTCTTTGCAGGAGACTGCAACAAAGTTCACTTCCACCTGCCCTACCGGTGGCAGATGTTCATAGCAAACACCTGGACGGACCTCCAGCCCATGGACAGTATTGAGAAGGCCTACTGTGACCCCCAAGTCCGAGTGTAAGTTGGGGGCTGGACTCTGGCTTGTGAGAGCCACAACATCCTCAAAGGAAAGCATAGTGCTAGGCTTATGGGAAGAAGAAATGATTTTCCTTCAGAATCCCGATCAGGTTGTTCAAGTTTGAGATAAAAACGGCAGCTGCCTACTGAGTTTAAAAAAAAGAAAAAAGGCTGGGTGCATTGGAAGTCACGCAGAGCCTGCACAGTCCTAGGGATTCTGAGAATATTTGCTTTTGCACACAAAGCAANAGAAAAAAGGCTGGGTGCATTGGAAGTCACGCAAAGCCTGCACAGTCCTAGGGATTCTGAGAATATTTGCTTTTGCACACAAAGCAAATACAGTGACACAATTATTTGTGTAGTTAATATTTGTCATTGTGTTGTGCAGATAAACACACTGCAGAGGCCGGTTTATATTTCTGTCAGCTCATGATAGGACTATTAAAAGTACTAAATGATTACCTCAAAAGAGCCGTTGGCTTGCCCGGCCAGCATGGCTCAGCGGTTGAGCATCGACCTAGGATCCAGGCGATCGAGGTTCCATACCTGGTCAGGGCACATGCCCGGGTTGTGGGCTCGATCCCCAGTCGGGGGCGTGCAGGTGGCAGCTGATCATTGACTCTCATCATTGATGTTTCTATGTCTCTCCCTCTCCGTTACTCTCTCTGAAGTCAATAAAGACATATTTTTTTAAAAATTTGCTCAAATCATGTCCTAAAGATATGAAATTAAGCCAAAGGTTTGTTGTTGTTTTTTAATGTATCTTTTTTGGCCGGAAATCGAACCATGACCTCCTGGATCATAGGTTGATGCTCAACCACTGAGCCACGCTGGCCAGGCTGATTTGAGCAATTTCATAATAGTTCTATGCAGAAGTTTTTGTGAACGTTAGCGTTTTGTAACTTCCTTTATGTTTGCTGTTTTCTCTCTCCTAGAACCTGATATTTTTGTTTCTGAAAGGGCTGAAATGGGTGATACCACATATGACCATATTCATAAGATGCATCCTAATTTAATAAGGGAAATTCTTTGAGGGGGGGAATTACACACGTTTCATCATCTGCAAGTTTAGTATTTGCAGTAGAATTTTTGGTAGAAATTCTGTTGCTGCATTTGGCCACTAGAGGGAGGCACCAGCTATTTTCTTGTTTTTGGGTGACTTTTCCCCCTAGGTAAATTTGAAGCAGGGTTTCTTAACCTTAGCACTATTCACTTTTGGGCCAGATAATTATTATTATATTTTTTGGAGGGGGTTGGTTTAGCAGCATTCCAGGCCTTTATCCACTAGATGTCAGTTGTGATAACCAGCATGTCTGTAGACATTGTCAAATGCCCCCCCAGGGGACAAAACCATTCATGGTTGAGAAGCACTGATGAAGGAGGCGCCTCTTGGAGCAGTAATTCTCAAACATTTTGGTCTCAGGGCCCCTCTACAGTCTTAAAATGTATCGAGGATCCCAAAGAGCTTCTGTTTATGTGGATTATAGCTATCAATATTTATCATAAAAACCCAAACTGGGAAAAATTAAATAATTGATTCTTATTTTCTTTTTAAATATGTCTTTATTGATTTCAGGGAGGGGGAGAGATAGAAACATCAGTGATGAGAGAGTCATTGATCGGCTGCCTCCTACATGCCCCCTGCTGGGGATGGAGCCCGCAACCCGGGCATGTGCCCTGACCGGGAATCGAACCCCGATCTCCTGGATCCTAGGTCGATGCTCAATCGCTGAGCCACTCCAGCTGGGCTATTGATTCATTTAAAAAGACTAAACTCGTTACATGTTAATATAAATAACACTTTATATAACTGTATTTATATAACCTTACATTTATATGCATATGACTATACCTGTAGATATATATAACTAGAAGTAACTTTCCTAAAACAAAATAAAAATAATTCATTGAGAATGACATTGTTTTATATTTTTTAAATCCATTGTGAAATCACACATGATGTAGCCTCTTGAGAATTCTATGCATGTGTGAGCATGCAAGTGAAAGAGGCAAATAATGTCTTAATATTATGAAAATAACTTTGGCTTTGCTGGGTCCCCAAAAAGGTCTATTAAATAAACAGTTACGTAAATAATTATAATTGAAAAAACTGACCTACTATGAGTTTCTAACATGGAGCCAACTTTTTTTTGTGGGCACAGTTTTATTTGGGATAGTTTTTGAGGAAAGAATACATTTTGTGATACCATTAAGTAGGTGGGGTAGGCAAGTGACATTGCCTCTCTGTGTTTTGGTTTTTTCTTTTGCGTGTAAGACCTTCAGATGTATCAAAATCTGAAGGCCCCTTTCAGCTCTAAAACTTTAATTCTGTGCTTCTGTTTTTGAAGACCAGATTGTAGAAAACAGAGGGCAGTGAAACATTTTGGTTAACTTTAAACTTTTCCCTGTCAGCCTTACTATCGGAAATTCAGAAATCAATTTCCAGAAAATGACTTGCGGTCTTATGCCCATCCGACGTATCTCCACGCCTTCCTCTGTCACGATGCCAGACAATTCTCTCTTCACCACAAAGTGGATTTGGTATTGGAGGAGTGGACCTCACAGATGGGTTCAGTATGGGGAGAAGGTGAGTTCCGTTCCTCCTGTGGACACCTGAGTTTAAACTTGCCGACTCCGGGGGAAAACCGTTACCAACATGTTTGATGCCTCCATGGATACCCATGGAGAAGTGGACGCGGTCGAGGAAGTCGTGCTTTTTACATTATACACAGCTGTATTGGTGGTTGCAGTTATAAACAAAAACATGAATTATTTTTAAGAAATCGAGTGAGATTTGAGTCAGCTGCGTGTCCCTCTATCCTCACTGTTGGGGCCTGGGGTGGGACCTTGAGATAGCTTTCTATGTATTTGTGCATAAATGTACGGAGATTACTGCCTCTAGCCCGAAAAGAGGTGAGAGTGGAGAATCAGAAGACTGAATCAGCCCTGGCCGGTGTGGCCCAGTTGGGTGAGCATTGTCCCACTCACCAAAAGGTGGTCGGTTTCATTCCCAGTCAGGGCACATGCCCAGGTTTCGGGCTTGATCCCTGGTGGGGGCCATGCAGAAGGCAGCTGATTGATGTTTCTCTCTCTCCCTCTCCATTCATCTCTCTCTTAAAAAAAATCAATAAAAACATATTTTTAAAAAATGTAGACTAGTACAGATGGTCACTAGGATTCCCAGTCTGGATTCAGAGGGACTTGAAAGGCTGGACCTGGAGCATTTGAGGCTTAGCCACATGGGGACATGCTAATTGGGGATAGATGTTTAGAGAAGCAGAGCTTTTGGTCTAGAGTCCCTTCCTCGTTTTGATTCATAGGATTTAAAGAGAGAGAGAGAGAGAGAGAGAGAGAGAGATGGAGGGAGCACACTTAAGTAGCCAAGGAAAACAGAGTGATGAGAAAGAGATTAAAATAAAAAGCAGATTAAAATAAAGCCAAAGCCAAAGCAGGGACATGGGAACAGCAGCATAAGGCTGGATATAGTTAGAAATCAATGGGCCGTGAATCTGTCTCTGAGCAGCCTGGCGGCCAAAGCAAGCAAAGAAACAAGCTGNGTGGGCCGTGAATCTGGCTCTGAGCTGCCTGGCGGCCAAAGCAAGCAAAGAAACAAGCTGTTACAGGATCCTTCTATCTTTGGGAGGAACACACTGGTTCCTCAGGAGAAGGACCACTTTTTTCTGTTCATGGAGCCTGAGAAAAACATATGCTANATCTTTGGGAGGAACACCCTGGTTCCTCAGGAGAAGGACCACTTTTTTCTGTTCATGGAGCCTGAGAAAAACATATGCTATGGGGCCACATAGAGGGGACCGTGTATGCCGTGGCCAGTAAGGTCCTCAACCCGAGTCCCACTGTCATTACCCTAGCACAGCTCTTAGCCTCAGGGACAGACAGGTTGTCAGACAGTCTTTCCCAGAACCTCAGTGAGCACACGGGACTAACAGAGCTGCCCTTTGGAAATAAGACATTGGCTCAGGGCCTGCTATCTTGTTCCCCTCCTCCCTCTTTGTCTCCTGTCTGCTGCACTGGCGTCTGAAGCACCTCAGTGTGAAAACTCCTGTGATGAGTTTTGTCAAAGTGCAGTTTCTTAAGAGTGATTCTGTGAGGTGCCTGTGGAAATAGAAATTACAGTCAAGTTCATTAGCTTTGGTTAAAATAAAGATAAACTGCCCGGCTGGTGTGTCTCAGCATTTGAGCACTGACCTGTGATCCAGGAGATCGCGGTTTGATTCCTGGTCAGGGGACATTCCCCGGTTGCAGGCTCGACCCCCAGTGTGGAGCATGCAGGAGGCAGCCGATCCTGTTTCTCCCTCATCGCTGTTTCTATCTCTGTCTCCCCCTCCGTTTCTCTCTCTCTCTAAAAATCAATAAAAAAGAACCAGTGAGAAATGAAGAATATAGTGCCTACTAATAGGGGCGTACATCCAGTCTGCCCCGGAGCTGCCACCCCTGCCGCAAGGTGGGGACAGTGGGATGGTGGCCCAGCCTGCCGGCTCGCTCGAATTGACCTACTTCCCTTTACCCACTCATTCTGATGTTCAGACCCCTCATAAATGTCTTGGGACCAGAGATCTGCGTCTTTATATTTTGAGGGTTTTCTGCCTCCCTTTCATTGTAGCCCCAGTGCTTTTTCAGTGTTGGGGACTGACTGGAGGCTCACTCAGTTTTCTTTGCTTACTGTGGTTCAGCGCAGAGGAGAAGGGGTAGGTCATTGACTTTTGCACAGCAGCACACCTACTGGAGCCTTACCTGCCTTTGCTACAGTTCTCACTGCTTTCTTGTGTGATGGGCCGATAGAGCCACCAGGGTCTCCTTCATGCAAGAGTGTTGGGTTCTACTAGCCAGGGAGGACACGATGTCCATCCTGTGGGGTGGGTGTGAGTTGCTCAGGACGCTTGGGTCGTATTTTATGGAAGGTGAAAAAAGATTATTGCAAAGAGCTATGTTTTTCTGGCATCTACCAAGCGTACAGTTTCTACAGGGTAGACTGTTCTCTCTTGGTCCCAGGATGGAGGAAACTACAAAAGGGGAGCCGTTATGATCTAGTTTGGGAGGCAAGACACATCCCTCTTTAAATCCCATGGCTAAAATAAGATTATATAAGATACAATGGTAGAGAATTCTTAAAAGCCTACCATGAAGTCTTTACTTTTTTTTTTTTTTTTTTTTTATTTGGGGGGNAGGCAAGACACATCCCTCTTTAAATCCCATGGCTAAAATAAGATTATATAAGATACAATGGTAGAGAATTCTTAAAAGCCTACCATGAAGTCTTTACTTTTTTTTTTTTTTTTTTTTAATTAGGGAGGCAGGCAGCAAGCTTCAAGCGTTGACTCTTCATACCTGGAGTCTTTCTTCCTCTTCTGTCCGAGGGGTGTTGTGCCATTTCAAGTGGGTGCAGAGAACTTTGAGCTGAGTTTCCAAGGTAAGAGTGTGTGTTTAGCAGTGGTGCCCATCGCTGGGATCTGGCATGAGGTGGACATGCAGGATGGGAGCAGAGAGGACGTGCATGCGTCTCCCAGGATCAGGGTTCTTTTGAGCAAGACCAGCAGTAGGGGGCGTGGAAGCCAGTGGTCATCAGGAAACCCGTGCTCTGTAGGCTTGGCTCCGACACACAGTAGCTATGTAACCCTGGGAGCAGCCCTTGGCCTCTCTAGGCCTCAGTTCTCTCATCTGTAAAATGGGGGCCTTTTCATTGCTGAATAATATTCCATTGTCAGGATATATCATGGTTTGTTTATCCACTCACTTCTTGATGGATATTTGGGTGGCTACTGGCAACATTCAACTGCAAGTCTGTGTGGATGTAAATTACCATTTCTCTTGGGTAAATACCAAGGAGTTCCGGGATTGCTGGAACACATAGGCATGGTATATTTAGAAGAAACTGCCAGACTGTTTTTCAAAGTGGCCACTAGCAATAAACATGATGGTTTCCTTTTTAAAACAATCACTCTGGCTATCGCTTGGACTTAGGTCTACAATGTGCATGAATTGAAAATGACATTTCACACTTGATGCAGAAAAAAACTTTCTAAATGTATAATTATGTCATATAATGGCATATAATGATTAATGCCTGGTTCGGGGCAGCTTCCATGGATGATGTCTTATTATCTGGCTACCCTTGCTCTCTTCTTGACCATCTGACTTTGATTTAAAGATTAGATTAATTGCTAAATGTTCATTTGCCTCTTTGTTTTCTGGGTCTTTTATATAAAAAGGCCGGTGAAGATCACAAGTTTCTATCATGAGCAATCTCCACCCAAAAGGCTTTTCTCTATTCATACACCTACAGGTCAGATATGAATATTTGCTATGTTACTAGCCTCTGAAAAATAACAAGAAATCATTTTCTAGATCTAATCCTTAATTCTTGTCTATCATTCTTCTGTCTAAAGGAATGATTCAGACAAACGTATTTTCCAAGACCCAAAAGGACGTCATCAGAAGGCCGGCGTTTGTGTCTGCCCCGGACGTGGCGCAGGTGAAGACTGGGCCAGAGTAAGTGTTCTGAGGCGCTGCTTGCTGGCGGGTGTCAGATGGTCACGCACCGGTCTCACGGAGCCACTCCTGAGTCGGGAGCCTGCTTTCCTGAGATGTTCCTGTTCGTGTTCCCTTGCAGTTCCCTTTTGCGTTGCCCGTGAGTGAGGTGCGTGTGGACCGCACAGTGTGACGGGAAGAATTCTAGAGCAGGAATCTGCCTTTACCTCTCACTCACAGGGGACTTGGGGCCAATCTCTTGACTGCTCTGGGGCTCAGTTTCTGTATCCGAACGGCTGGATTAATGGGGTGTGCCTAGGAAACCATCAAAAGTGCCGAGTTTTGTTTTGCTGTGGTTTCTTGTGGGGCTCAGTTTCTGTATCTGTGAATGGCTGGGTTAATGGGGTGTGCCTAGGAAACGGTCAAAAGCGCCGAGTTTTGTTTTGCTGTGGTTTCTTGTGTGTATCCTTAGTTTTGCTGAGAGAATTTGTAAAGGGTGGGAGGCTGAAAAAGAAATGGAAAGAAAAAAGGGTCGAGGTAGCTGCCTGAGCAAGGGGATTTGGAGAAAGATAAAGTTGACGAAGGGGATTTTTAAAGGGAATTTTGCTGTGGTAGATCCAATGTAACTCTTTCCTGTGTGCTCACGAAATTCAGTAAAATCTACATTCATGAACATTTTTGGAGTTGGATTTTTTTTTCCGGGGTGATGTGTGATCATATAAAACATTTCAAGGCAGGTGCAAAATCAGGGTGTTCCGATTAGGTTCTTTTGGTTGTAGGAATTAAGAGATTTCACAAAAGAGGGAATTGGTAAAAGGGTGAACATGGTGTAATAAGGAAAACATTTCACAGGAGTCCAAGGATGGGAAGAACTGAGCTATGCCAGGGCCTTCGGTGTGGGAGTCAGTTCCAGTTCTGCTTTAGAACCTGAGTAGCCCGGGGTCACACCTTGCCGGTGACCAGGTTAACAGCCCCGACTGTTTTGTTGTTGCTGTTGTTGAAGATTTTTTATTTTTAGAGAGAGAGGGAGAGAGAGAAACATCGATGTGAGAGAAAAACATCCATCTGCTGCTTCCTGCACACCCCCATTCCAAAAGAATCTACATTTTACCAAAGGGTGTCTTTATTTATTTATTAATTTTAAAAATATATATATTTTATTGATTTCAGAGAGAGGAAGGGAGAGGGAGAGAGAGAGATAGAAACATCATTGATGAGAGAATCATTGATCAGCTGCCTCCTGCATACCCCCAGCTGAGGATCAAGCCCGCAACCCTGGTATGTGCCTTCACCGGGAATTGAACCGAGATCGCCAGGATCATAGGTTGATGCTTAACTGCTAAGACACTCTTTAAAGTGTCTTTAAAGAGTTTTTTTTCCCCTCTTAAAGCATTTTTTAATTTAACTTTATCATTATGGAAAATTTCAAAGTTAAAGTAGAGAAAATCCTTATCCGAGGATATGTTTTTATTGATTTTGGTGAGAGAGGAAGAGGGGGAGAGAGAGAGAAACACTGATCGGTTGTCTCCCATATGCGCCCCGAGCAGGGATCGAAACTGCAACTTGGGCATGTGCCCTGACCGGGAATCAAACCCCCAACCTTTTGGTGTCTGGGACGACGCTCCAGCCAGCTGAGCCACCTTGCCACGGACCATTTTTTAAAAGAAATTAGGTGATAGGCCCTGGCCGGTGTGGCTCAGTGACTAGAGCATCGGCCCTCACACGGAAGGGTTGTTGGTTCGATTCCCAGTCCAGGGCACGTACCTGAGTTGCAGGTTCGATCCCCAGCCCTCCGGTCAGGATGTGTGTGGGGGGGCAACCAACTGATGTGTCTCTCACATCGATGTTTCTCTCTCACTCCCTTCCACTCTCTCTGAAAAGCAATGGAAAATATCCTCGGGTGAGGGTTACCAACAACAGAAAAAGAAAGAAATGAGATGATTTGTCCTACAGAATCTCGCAAATTCAAAATGCAGCGATGCCTCGGTTTCCGAATGGGATCCGTCCGGAAGCCCGTTTGAGTTCGGAAACCGAGGGATCCGCAGCCGACGGCTGGGCCTCGGGACCTTGCCCTCCGCCGGAGCCGCGGGGCATGTTCGACTTCCGAGGCGGGTTCGAGAACCGAAGCATTTCCTCCCTGGTGTACGGCGTTCGTAACCCGAAATGTTCATCCACGGAGACGTTCAAAAACCAAGGCACCGCTGTACAGCCCATTGTATCCTCACGGGGTTATTTGAGAGTAATTTCTGTGACTTGATGGTTAGCTCTAGAGGGCTGATTAGATTCAGGTTCCCTTTTTGATTAAGAACACTAGGTATGCCCGGCCGGGCGTGGCTCAGCGGTTGAGCGTCAACCTGGGATCCAGGCGATCAGGGTTCGATTCCCGGTCAGGGCACATGCCCGGGCTGTGGGCTTGATCAATGACTCTCTCATCATTGATGCTTCTATCTCTCTCTCCCTCTCCTTTCCTCTCTCAAATCAATAGAGATATATTTAAAAAAGAAGAACACTAGGTAAGTGGTGCCTCTCCTTCTGCCACATGTTCTGAAGATGTCCCTTTAGTCTGGTTGTCCCATTTTCAGTGATGAGATGGGAGAGTGGGTTGGTCATTTCGGCCTGATCCCTCCATTGTAACATTTTCATCTGACCTTCTGGTTAACGGTTTTAGCGGCTGTGGATGGTCACTGTTCAGATCCATTATTTCATGAGGGGTTACAAAATGGTGTTGTCTCATTCTGGCAGTTCTGTAACTCATAGCTGTGATCGTCTATAAAGAATATTTCCTCATGTGTGGTTACCCTGAAATACAGTTCAGAGGCAGCAGGATTCTTTCCCCTGTACTTTTAATATACTTAAATGTTTATCATTTGACAAAGAAGCTGAAGGACACACTTAATGCTAACACATTAGGACTTCAGGAAGTTGAGCAGAACTATAAAAAAGAAACAGTGCTTTTACATTTTAAATGAATGGGAAAATAACATTTAATGAGTTGACCAAAGTTGGAATAATTTCTGCATTTTTTAAAAAAACACGATTGCCGATACATCTGTGGCAGAAATATGCAGGGGTGTAGTCCGAAATAAAATACGAAGAAAAAATTATCTGAGAAACCTTTGCTTAGTGGCTGGAAGTTAAGGACAGGAAGTACTTGGGCAGATGAGACGGGGGGCCAAGTGAATTCTTCCTCTCTTATTTGTAGCCATCAGCCGGAGGAGACCCCAACAGAGCCTGCAGTCTCGGTATTTCTTCCCCAGAAGAAGTTTCCCTCTACCCCGCTGAATGGATATGAGGTACCTGGTTTTTACTTTTCGGTGGGTGAATGTTTGAAGGTGGGGAGAGGCACTTTGTTACAAATGTGTGTATTTGTTTGAACGAAAGAATCGCTTCTTTAAACCTTTGGGTCAATATTCAAAGGCAGGCGGCTAAATGGTGATGGTGTCCCTTTTCCGGGGAAGGACTACCCTCTGCTGGGAGCCTCGTGGTCTCCAGAGTCCCGCCATACAGGATCTCATTGGGGCAGACCCTGTGACAACCCTGAGAGACAGATATTAGTAGCTTCCTTTATGGGTTAGAAAACTGGAACTCGGAGAGTAAAAGCGACTTTCCGTTATTTGGAGGTTTAAAAGGCTGGTTTCGAGGAGAGTCACACAAACGGTCTCACCATGTCACCTAGCCTCGTTGGGGCAAGACTTCCTTGGTTGTGTAGCTTGGGGTGCAGGCTGCTTTGCTTGGGGTGCATGGGCACCTTCGATGCCTCGTCCTGCACTGGCTTTAGGCAAGGAACTCACCGGGTCACCGGACTAAATCAGGCACTCGGGGGCCTCCCTGTACCTTTAGGCATAATGCTTTGTTAGCCGTGTCAGCCGGGACAGATGGGCCCAGTGCCAGCTGGTGCATTACTGGAGTAAACTGCCAGATGGCGAAACCTAAGCCAGCTTGTCCCACCTGCTGTCAGAGGCCTGGCAAAGGTGCTCCATGGCATAGGGAACCACACATGTGGACACAGCATGCTTTAAATGTCTCCTGTTTCACATTTTTTAATATTTTTAAAATTTTTTCAGTTGTTAGAGATGGATAACTCTTCTTCGGAATATGCCCAAATAAGTGAGTATTTCAGAGCGACCATGAAAAACGTCAAGATTGAAAAGATCAAGAAGCTCAAGAATGCACAGCTCTTGAAGACTTTTGAAAGGTTGGTGGCCATGGGATCAAGTTTCTTTCCATAGAGTTTAAAAGGATTAAAGTCTCTCCTTTAAGATTTATAGTCACTGGTTTCTTTCCTAGTCAGCAGTTTCTTCAGTCTCTGGCTTTCATTGTGTAAGCGCCAGCTTCTCGCTTTCAGCTTTGGTTTTACAATTCAGTGATTTCATGTGTCTATCGCTTAAAAGTTTTCATCACATTTTTTTACAGCTATTGTCTTAATGTCAGTAGCTCCATTCTGAACCCGGGTGAAATGAAATTTTAAGACAATTAGACTCTAGTTGGCATTAATGTTATTAACTGGAGTGGGAGAGGAATGTTCTCGGTGTTAAGTTTCACATTTCCTATATTAGGAAGAAAATCGGGATGAAAAGGGTCAACGAAAAGTGGCTGTTTTGTGCAACACGCCGCGCCCACGTGGATTCTATCTGCGCGAATAATTTTGACTGGATCTTGCACGGGATTCCTGAAACCACATATGGAAAAGGTTTGTGCTGAAATAGAGAAACCTGGCTCGGAGGGCATAACTCAGGCCCTGCATTGCTTCTGTTACGAGGTTATGTGGTAAGTTTGTATTAACCAGAATGTCCCAGCTTCTGCCGTCATGGAAAGAAGATCAGCTCGCCCACATCAGAGCGGTAAATTGACTTGGGGCTTGATTGCTGCACCCTAGTCCTGTTCCTGTCTTTTGGTTTTGGAAGAGAAAATTCCCTTTTTCATGAAATATCTTAATTCTCTGAGACTCTTTGATTTCAGACACGCTTGCAAACCAAGTCCCCTGTTGGCTACGTTGCCTACCTTTACTACCAGTCTGGCCATGGCTCTTCCTGACCTATGTCCATCTCATCGAAGCCGCTCGAAGCAGCCTCTGTTGCCATGGATGGGTTCTAGTCAGGGGTGGGAGAAGGGGCCTCTCCATCTCAGGCTATGCTGGTTTCAACCTGGGGAATGACTTGATGAGAATTTCATAAGTTTATTAAATTTATTTATTTTATTTTTTAAATATATCTTTACTGATTTCAGAGAGGGGTAGGGAGAGGGAGGGAGGGAGAGACATTAATGATGAGAGGGTCATTGATCGGCTGCCTCCTGCACGCCCCCTGCTGGGGATGGAGCCCGCAACCCGGGCATGTGCCCTGACCTGGAGTTGAACCGCGATCTCCTGGATCCTAGGTCGACACTGAACCATTGAGCCATGCCTGGCTGGGCAAATTTATTAAATTGAAATGAATTACTCAAACTTAACCGAGAAATGTTTGGGGAAAGTGGGTAACCATCTTGAGTGAGATACAATGTGTGTGTAAACTCATCAGTTTCTCAGTCTCTCTTTGGCATAATTTTGATTCACCCACACCGGACAGCTATTGTTGTGTTGGCTGTTGTCATTTTTTAACTTAACACTCTAAGGGAAAAGAGGTCAGTGCCCCTGACTAAAGAGGTCAGGTATTACATGTTTTAAAAATTCTTGTGGCACACGTGTTGAAAATTGCTGGCTTTGCCAATGCCCACCATCTAATTAACATGTAAATCATCGTATAAACTACATACTTCCCTTTATAATAATTCTTAACCTTTTTTTTCTTATTATTTCTAGGAAATTACTTCATGAAAGATGCCATCAGTGCCCATAAAGTTTGCCAGCATGATCCCAAAAACATCGTTATGTTTGCAGCCCGAGTCCTGGTTGGAGATTTTATTGAAGGAAAGAGGCATTATACGAGACCTCCTCCAGGCTATGACAGCTGTGTGGACTTAAAGTGGAACCCTTCCGTTTTTGTCATCTTTCAGAAGGATCAGATTTACCCAGAGTACGTGATTGAGTATACTGAAGCAGATAAAGCCTGCGTGATTAGTTAGAAACGGGGAGTCCGCCGTCATAAAGGGCGCCGTAACTGTTCCGTCCACTTACAGAACCGGATTGCCCCGGATAACTGTTCAACTTTTTTTACGTTTCCCCATCTAGTTATCAAATGCCTTAGCTCAGTGGTTCCCAAACTTTGCTGCACATTCGAGTCATCTGGAAACTTTAAAAAAAAAAAAATCTCCGTGTCCAGAGTGCACCCCATTCCAACTAAATCACTTTCTGCAGGCCGGAGCCAGGCAGCCATATGTGCCATAAAGTTTGGGAACCCACCGCCTTCGTCGTAACTGCTGAAGACTGACTTCTCATACTTCTGTGGTTGCAGCGACCTTCCTCTCATAGTTTACTGCACGGACGGTTTTGTTTTGGTTAAATTGAAAAAAAAATTAATTTGGGAACTTGGAGAGAAATGTAAGAATGCCTGTTGAAGTAAAGGCATGAGACGGGGTAGTCTTAGATGGAAGACTGTGAAAAGCTGGGGGGTGCTTAGGAATATGCAGGGAGGGAAAGGGGAGGTAATTTAATTGCCATTACAGACACAGCTGCAGTACTGTACCATTGTAGTGAAACTGATTTGGGATATACATTGCGTTATCTCGACATTTATTTAGGCGACTCCATTCAGGTCGGTCCTGGAATCCAATCGAAAGAGTTGCCAAGTGTGGCTCAGAGAGAAGCAGCAACTTAAGTTAGTGGCCCGGTTGGGCTCTTGACGTAATGATGGCAGAGTAGATATTTATGTTCTAATCAACATGATTCCAGAGAAGGCTTTTCTCAGGTCGGACTTTCATGAAGGGTGTGAGCCTTGGGGGTACTGAGTTGCGGTAACCAGAGTCACGCAAGCATGACTGATGAACCCGAGTGCTCCTGTAGTCGTTCGCTGTGGCCGATGAGGCTCACCTCGGAACGGGGTGCAGGGCCCTCCTGTTGAGGGATGGGCCCCCTAAGGAGGCGAGATTTGGTTCCTGGTGAGCACAGGATCGGGACAAAGAGAACACTGCCTCAAGGAGGCCTTGCTCCTGCACGGGGCTTTTTCTAAGTATAGCAGATGGTAGGGAATCGTAGTACAGTCAGCGTTTAGAGCAGTTGACATGCCTGGACCAAGTTCCTTATTATGAATCATGTCTTTCATTTCCGTTTTCCTTTTGAAACATTCCATTCCAATCTCCCAAATGTTCCTTATAGTTCCTTCCAGCAGACATGTTACAAAAATTAATTAGCATTAGAGATTTTATATTGGTTAGCTTTTTAGTCAGTGCAAAACACGACACACTTCTTGACTTAAAGGGCTCCGTCAGTAACACTTGTATAAGGGTTTTTAGCATAGGGTCATTTTCTGGGAGGCTTGCCACAAATAGTTACTCTCATCTACTTTTTTTTTTTTTT